GGGGGGGGGGGGGGGGGGGTGGTTTGGGGGGGGGGGGGGGGGGGGGGGGGGGGGGCGACCGAGAATAGTAAGCTTTGAAAAGGAGGAGAGTCCGCGTAATCATTTGTTGTCGGGGAAATGGCGGGGGTGACAATGAGCTTTGAAAAGCGGGGGGGGGGGCCCGCGGAACCGTTCCTTGGCGAGGGGGGGTAGGGGGAGCGACCAAGATTCAGCTTTGACAAGCAGGGGAGTCCGCGGAATCGTTCGTAGCAGGGGGGCATCCGAGCAGTGGAACTTTCATTCGGCCCTGAAAACAAATAAATGTACTGTGGGTGACTTCATGCACGTAGACAGCACTAAAAAAACATTCGTTCGGCCCGTGCCTGTCCTCGGACATGTCACGACTGCTTCCACGGCAGCTTTCTGCAACCAGCTGCAGCAGCAGCGGATGCACCACATCGAACACCGGCAGCAGCAGCAGCAGCAGCAGCGACCGTAGGCTGTACAGTAGAGCGATAACAAGTCCGAAGTCCTACCCACCGAGGGCGGCAACACCGACGCACCTCGCGCGGGCATCATCAGGCGCTCCCCTAAGAGACATTGAGCAGAGGGCAGGCAATCGCTTGCTGAAATGACAACAACGACAACCAACAAACCTGTGCGCGCAAGGGCTTGTCGGAGATGCTCTGGTTGGTCGCGTCCATGTCGCCCAGCTTCCCGAGCATGGCCCACAGGGACCCCAGGTCCTCACGGAGCGAGCCGATCTTGGCCCCGAGGGAAACACGCTCGTCCCTGGCCTGACGGCATTTTTCGTGCACCGAAAGAGGCGTTTCGATATAGGCATATGCACTCTTACACTCCACAAACTCCAATCGGTGATGGAATTGCTGGCCAAGGCCTATTGCACCGGCGCTGATCCATCCGCTCACGGTCAACGAAGCATCTCACCGCAGACAAACAGCAGTGGAGTGGGCCTATGGATGTGGCTGTTGTTGGACAAACTCTCGCAGCACTGGCAAGTAAAAGTACAAACTTCGCGAGTCGCATATACCGCACCAAGCTTGGTATTTTGATAGCTTGACTCACCGCAATGCCTCATTCCAGAGGAAGGCAATGTAGCTCCAATGCAAGGCATGCATACGATAGAATACGTTTTGGAGCAACAGCAGCAGACACATTGCTTGGAAAACGATTATTCGTAGCGCGTTCTGCCAAAACCAACCTCTTCGAGCTGCGCCTCGGCCTCCCGCAGCACCCCGGAAGCTACGGCGCCCATCAAGCCCAGCCGCTGATCGTGCGCCACGCCCAGCTCTCCCCACACGCCCTGACGAGCAGAGCAAACACATTTGAATACACCGAAGGGCGGGTGGAAGGCTACGTTACCGTTCCGGCACGACCAAACGAAAAAACGGCGAACAAAAAACTTCGCCGCGGAGCCAATGAAGACAAAGGCTAGGTACATCAAATATATTGCACCGTTCTTCACCCTCCCTGAAAAAAGAAAAGTGCGACGAACGACGGTACTGCGTGTAGCACCGTACGCCAACATGCACGGCAAAAATATAAATGATAGAGCGCATGGCGCGTAGCAGCTCGCTTCTTCTGTTCATGTTCGGTCAATGCTTTAGGCCAAAGAAAACAATACAACATGGTGTACATACCTCGACGGCGGCGAGGGAGTCCCTGCATGGTTCTTCACCTCAAAATATATTGAGCGACGAAAGAGGGTACAACTGCTTTCGCATGTCGTGCAGTACGCCTACACAGACGGAAAAATAGGCACACTATGGAGAGCGTCTCAAAGTCATAAAACATACGGCTTTATTTGCCCCGAGGGCGGCGACGGCGTCCCTGCGTTGTTCCTCACCTCAAAATATATTGAACGACAACAGCGGGTAAGCACTGGCTTTATGAAGTCTAGTCTACACAAGCAAGAAAAAAAGGTGTAGTAGAGGATCTCAAAGCCAAAAAGCATGGCATATTACATCGAGAGGGGGGCGGCGGTATCCCTGCATTGTTCTTCACCTCAAAATACATTGAGCGACTTCAAAGAGAGCACTCCTTCAGAGCGCCTCGAGTAATATGTACCTCTAGGGCGGCGATGGTGTCCCTGAGGCTCTCCGCTTCCAAGCCCTCCGCTCCCCGCTCTGCCGTAACGAGGCGGGCCTGCACACGCTGACGTTCGGCGCGCTCCCTCTGCAGGTCTTGACTTAGCACCCGGTTCCTCTCCACCAACTCGAAAAACAGAAAAAACAAATAGAAACATACACACAAACAAGAACATACTTCATCGCAACTTTGAATCGTCAGAGTGTACGAGGAAACTGAAACTCTTGTGTGGTCTCCCAGTCTGGGTAAACCCAGCCGAAACCACAAAACACGCACAGGCATTGATGAGAGTCCGCGTTCCTCTCCAGGTCATTACCCTGTTGTATCCTGGATGTGAAGACAACAACAACAACAACAACATCCTGTCAAGGCGGTGCTGGTTCCACTTTTGGCATATTTTCATCGCCTATGGGTAATACGTCGGGAAGTCTGCATGTCCCTTTGGAAGCCGCCAATGAAATTCTACCTGGACAAAATTAGGAAGATTATTTGCGTTCTAAGGTCTACAATATGTAACATTTCGGATACATCCACGTCGTTGCACAGATATTGGTGTTTCGACATCAAAGTCTATCTCCAATGTAATCCTACCTGAACAAAAATAGCAAAGAGTATTTGCATTCCAAGGTCTACAATATGTAACACTTCGAATACATCCACGTTATTTACACAGATATAAGTGTTTCGACGTCAAGGTCTACCTCTTCCAACGTGCCCAAGGCACCTTCTGCACCACATCCCTCTCTAGAAGGCCCTAAAGTACCCGATTTTTGAGAAGCATACGGACGAGTGTTGCAGCCGAAGCGTGTGTACACCTTTTCGAGCCGCTTCTTCTCGGCTTCCGCCCCGAGCTCGAGCTGCCTCTGCCTGGCCATGATGTTGTCCATGTGCTGTCCACTGAGCCGGCGGTTAGCCGACGCCTCGCACGCGTCCCTTGAGCTGTGTTATTCACGACACCATCCAACGACAACACAACAGAGGCGGCGGTTAGCAAACGCCTTGCATGCGCACCTTGAGCTGTACTTTCACGACGCGCCGAACACAACCAAGAGGCAACGGTCTGACTTGGGAAGGGCTTTCCACTTGCACTATTTTGCGATATTTTCACTCCATGGTGGCTCGAACCCGCGCGGCACCAAATAGGCAGAAGGTTCAGGTATACGAGTTCAACTGAAAAACCGCCTCGACCGGTGCTTCCTACTCCGGAAGAAACCCCAAGGAACGAAAAATATTATCCCGAAAAACCACCACATCAACCTAATCCTACCGAAGTACACGACTTGGAACTCATCCCATCCTCAAGTTGATCATACTCGGGGCCGGCCGCAGGGGTCGTCACTCTGCACAAGGCAAGGTAAACCCGAAGCATACAAACGAATCTGAAAGAACAGTATTTGTACGGGCCCACAGCGCACAGTACAACAAAAGCTAACGAAAACCACCATGGGTGGCCAAACAAAGCTACACTATGGGTGACCAAACAAGGCTGACAAAAACGAACATCAGTGGACAGCAACTTCGAAAAATTATCTACCACGGGTGCTAGGCGGCAAACCAACCTTATCGGACTGGGAGGCATCCCGCTCCTGGGGCTGGGTCTCGGCCCTCCCCAAGACGCCCGGGAGCTGAGATGACGGGGAGCCGGGCTAGCGAACAGGTTGGCCGCGACTGCGGGTACGCAAGAGAGAAGGGACGACGTAGGAAGAATAAAAGAGGCAAAGCAGGCAGAGAGACACGACACACAGGCTTGTGGGTCAGCCAAAAAAACATAGGGCAGAGACTCAGCTGGATTGGGCGAACACGTTGGCCGCGACTTCGATGGGAGCAAGAGGATAGAAGACGAGACGAGCAGACGAGCCAGGCAGGAAAAGCAAAGAGACATGCAACACGAAGGCTAGTTGTCGAAAATCATGATCGTGATCAAACACGATCAAAATCATTTTTTTTTTTTCAGTCAACCGAGCCATCTTTTCTATTTTTCGACTTTGCCATTTTTCGGACATCGTTATCACACGGTGGTCAAATTGGGTAAAGGTGCAAGTTTATATCGTTGACCATTGACCAAAGTAAGCCGACAAATAAAATGCAACAATCGCGAGAATAAAATGCATCAACCGCGACAACACGCAAGAGAATGACCACAATCACACCGTATAGCGTACGCAGGACCAAATCGTGACAACACCACACCCTCTCACGCAACCAGCCACGAACAAGGACAACGGCGGCAATGACGGCAGCAGCCCGTTCTTCCGACCCTCGATTTCGGTATAGTAAGACATAAATAGACCCTAAATAAGCCCAGTACCCAGCCGGTTTGTTCATGCCACCACCCAGTGTATACAGACTTCAACAACACATCCCCTTCGACCATGGTATTATTTAGTTCGAACGGGTGGTCTTTCTGTGAGGTTCTGTACACTTTCTGAAAATAGTATCAAACGCGATCCTTGTAGATATCGGTTCCTAATCCCGGCCACCGCATCCGACAACGCCTCCGTAGGGAGAGTGGTGCCTTAAAAAACCGTCCACAAAAGAACACCGCGTGGTGGAGTTACTCTGTGCTTGTGCGATCATTTTCAAAGGACACCACCATAGCCGCCCATACGAGCACTTCGCGGGACAAAACCAAGCCCTGGAGTGTACTCAAGTCGTACGATAGTGGTTAGATCATTGACCTCGCATCCCTACAACGCCGGAAAAGAGCGATACGCCGGCCAGCCCAGGCCACGCTTTACAAGGATTCACCAGAAGCCGGTCATCACCCTTGCCGTTGCTGTGCCAAGCCGGATATGCCATGGATTGATCGGGCGTCCCGGTTGACGAAACGTTTCACACCCGGCAGGCATGACTTACGCTCTAAGAACCGGAAGGGACTTCGATCTTTGTACAAGCCTAGGGATG